TTTCTGACTTCTGGACCACATTGCGGATTACTATTCCTCACTGCATGATCATGTGATGCAGGCTGAATGCTATGCGATACATTCTTCATCTCTGGAGTAACAACAGGGACGGCTCCACCACCCAATGCCTCACCAGTTGGATCACTACTTGAAAAATCCATATTGTCTAATCTATTTTGTAGCCTTGCATCACCACTACTGTTTTCCTGGTAAGCAGAATCACAATCAACATGGTTTGTTCCATTCGATAATGCCAATTCCACAGCTGTAACAAGTCCATTGTCATTTGTGGCTCTCTGCATCATGTTTTCGTCCACAATTAGAACACCATTCTTCGCATCAACTGAAGTTTTAGAACTCTTAACCTGGCCAATGATAAAGGAAACTCCATCCTCTGAATCAGCAACTGAAACTCCAGAAATTTCCTCGAAATTTTTTTCTCTTAAAATTTTATAGTCATGTTTAGAACCAGGTTCTGCTTTATCCTTCTCGCGAGCAATTCCAACATTTATATAGCCCTGTCCAAATTTTGATACATTTAAAAAACGAGACAAGCTGATACTATATGAAATGCAAGTATAAGAACTAATTAAAAAATAAGAATAAAAAAAGAATGAGAATACTGATCAATCTTGGCAAGAAATGGGGGGTACAAGGGAACATACAAAAAATCCATAGATTACGTTACAAACTTACACTGAGATCAAGAAATGCATAAATATCCCTAATTAGGGAAGCACGAGGTGGTTCACCAGCACAAGCCGTATCTGTTACCCCACAGTCCGTGAGTGGCAAAATTCGACTAACATCTTTACTCCACAGAGCAAGGATCTGATTCCTGTATTGCACCAAGCAATAGATTACTGAACTACACAGAGCTTATCAAGGCAGACAATTAAACCACAGGAAATTAATTTGGGATCTTCATTGAAAAATGGATGAGAGTTTCATTCAAATAGAATAGAAGACCAGAACTCAAAAAATTGGACAAGATCACTTAAAGAAGGAACAAATCTGAAGCAACAGCCAATAATGCAAAAAATAATAATAATAATAAGCAGCATCAAAATTTTAAAACAAAAATCAGACCCTCTAAGGACAAACAGAACTTTTAATATTTGTAGGATGTAACAGAAAACCAAAAGATTTAAATTTCAAAAAAAAAAAAAAGTAAAAAAAAGTAAAAAAAACAGCATTAGTGTCTAGTAAGCATACACACTCAAATGACACACCCAGTGTTATTTTACAGGAGGGTCTCAGAATTAATAACTAACCTGCATTCCAAATAGTCTTGAATCCCACCTCTGCGCTTCAAGATCTCCTTGAATTTGATCTTCTCAACAGGACCAACTGCATGAGCTTTAAGACCAGCAGACACTGCTGCAGCCTCACCACTTTCAGCCTCTGTACCAATACTTGAAGAGGAATCAAACTTCACTCTTGTTCTAAATGAATTGTCACTATCCAGACCTTGATCATTTATCAAGACCTCCCAATCAGCATCCCCCTCATAAGCCATGTCTCCATGCCTACGCTTTCTAACATTGCGCACTACACGCTGGACAGCTGATAGCTTAGTGTCTTTGTTTTCGACATCAGGTAGAGATACTGTGTCTTCTGGGCAACTCTCATTTTCATATGTACATAGAGGCGGAGAGGCTCCATCAGCTTCTTCATCAATGATGAGATAATCATGATCTGGACCATTTCCCTCTTTGGATGCTTCATCAGAGGATAGATCTTGACGTATAGCAGAGCTGCCCTTCTGGATGGGAGCAGTAGATTTGTTTGAATGGACACAGGTTTCAAAGGATTCCTCTTGGTGATTCAACTGGTTAGCATAGCCAAGTTTTAGGGCTCTACTAGAAGTGATATCAAGTGAAGATAACCGACTATCAGCTATTACAGCCTTTTCCTCCAGCAAAGAATGTGAAGCAAGGCCTGGCTCCTCAGTGCAAGAAATTAGACCATTACAAATACTGCGAGTTTCTTCCATCTTCAGTGTGCCAGAAGCAAAGCTACACAACGGATGTTGAGTATGCTGGGAAAAGTTTTGACATCGATCAGAATCAAGCTCATCTTCCATCTTCACATGGTATGCCAAGGAATTCTGTGGTAGATGTGATGAGGACACCAAGCGTTTGTCCTCGGACATATCCAAAACATCCTTCGACTCAATGGAGAAGGCATCAGTAAAACCTCCTTTGGAGTCACGATCACCAACCCCATGCATATCTTCCATCTGTTTTGGATAAGGAATCGAATTACGCCTTTCTACATCATACTTCGTCAGAGTGCTTAAGTCTACCATAGAGCAGTGCTTCAATCCGACCTCAAAAGTTTGTGTCTTATGTGTCAAATGTTTGCTGTCTCCATCATAAACTTTATCAGAGTTGCATGGCCCCTCTTGAAAATTTGAACCATAAGGATCCATTATGGCTTCATTGTTCATCACAGGCATGGTGTTTCCTGTAACACCTTCCGAACTAGGGTTCAACCCATCCTCCAAAACCTGGGAACCATTATTTTCTTTAGGACTTGAAGAGGTACGAGACTTCTTAGTAAAACCAGATTGTGCCTTCCGGAAAATTGCTGATAATGAATCTTCTGGATGATGATCCAAAGAGCTATTAGAACCTTCCCCATATCCCCGAGACTCAGAAACCTTGGGTCTCTTTCCCTTTCCCTTAAGCTTGTTTTCTACCTCTATATCGATAGTCACATCAGATCCATCATCAACCATGACCGGACCTTTTTCTAGCACCATTGACACTGATTTTTCATCCAACCCCCCATCCTCCACAGGCCCATTAGAGGACCGGTCCAAAGACTGTACAACATCCCTTCCCCTAATAGTTCCAGCCCCAGAATCTTTCTTAGGACCCTTCAACTTCTTCCTCAAACTTGCCAAGGTATCATCCAGCCCCCCCAAATCCTCTTCTTCGTCCTCAACCTTCTTGCTCCTTTCGCTGCAACCCTCTAACCGTGGCTTAACCTTCTTAGGGTTTCGCTGCCTCTTCAACTTCAACAGTGACCCAATTGGCTCATCATCATCTGAATTAATATTAGCCTCGATTAACTTAGATCTTCGCTTAAATCCAGACTTCTTCTCCTCTCCGTCCATTTTGTTAACCGTAGCTTTCAAGAGAATACAGTCTTCCGTAACCCTAGCCCAGCTTCAGTGCCCAAATCGGGGAAACCAATCATCACCTTCCACTTCTCTATTCTCAAAAAATTAAAGCTCATGTTTCGCATGCACTCTCCTCAAGCAATTCAACTACAACAGCGAAAAATTGAAACCACGCCTAGAAATCCCAATACCCATCAAATCGCAGATATTCACAATTATGATGCCAAATCAAATCCTTGATAAGTTTCTGCCAATGAGTACGCTCTTATCCACCTTCTGTCAATGGCTTGTCTCTACTTTAAGTCCTTAATCGATAAAATCTAAAATTGGAAAAGAAAAAAAAAAGGAAAAGGAATTAAAAAGACAAAATCTACCTAGGGTTTTTAATATAGATAGTAAGCCCTAATGAGAGGAAGGTAGATGGGTTGGGGATGTCAGACCTGTGCGCGCTGAAGCTCCAGCACGGTGGCGTTAATGGGTTTGTCGAAGAGTGTGAGGTGCGCACGTTAGCGTCTGGCCGTAGAACTGGGAAGGTCGGCTCTATAAAGTGCGCCGCGGGAGAAATTAAAAATGGTGAAATAAAAGGAAATATAAATTATAGAAAAGAAAAAAGTACTGACGAAGGCTTTTTCGCGACACGATTTGTGCGTGCGAGCGACGAAACTTTTGGAAATAAGAAGAGACTACGGAGAATGCATTTGGAACCACTAAAAACGTTTCATATAAATTCGACTACTACTTAGGTTTGTTTTCCTCTGTTCATGTTAAATTTTAACACGCAAGCAATGATTTGCAAATAAAGAATTTGAGTTATATTTAAAATCCTCATAAAAGAAAAGGGGTTATCTTTGAATTTTTATATATTTCAGTAAACTACTAAGTTATGGAAAATATTTCAAAAGCCATAGAAGGTACTTATAAATCTATACTATTATGAAACCATGTTGAAACTTCACCACCACCCAAAATATTGGACAACATCTTCTTTCAAACAAAACAAAAAATCAATAACTAATGTGAAATTTATATTTAAAGTTCACAAGGGTATTATGGTGTAAAAAAATTCGCTCAAAATTAAGGGATAACCCCATTATGCAAACTCATGTATTAGTTTGGATCAATATATCATTAAACTAAGTCTTGTGTTCAGAACCTTCATCCCTGTTCATTCATGGTTATATGTATACATTGGCGTAATACCAACTCATACAAACTCCCAATCGTTAATTATATGGTTTAAGATCAATAAACCCTAATTATATGGTCGCGACACTTTTGGATAAATAATACTTCAATCATTAATTACTATACTTTTTATAAAAAATTTATAAACAAATTCATTTATTATCATGTATGCTTTTACATATTTAGCAAGAAGTATGAAATTTTTACTGTATTTTTGTTGGCTTCAACTCCCCTCAATGATATTATAAGTCTTTTTTTATACAAGAAATATTGAAGGAGGGAGATTCGAACACATGACCTTAAATGAAGGAGTAAATGTTCTTAACTACTTCAGGTATAAAAAAATTTTAAAAAAATTATCGTCCTTTTTTATTAGGCATGGATCCAATTAATGGGCTTTAACAAATAGGACATGTCAGTTCTCCAAACAGTCCTAAGTTGTCACCTTACAAAACAGATCCAAATAGTCATCTTTTTACTTGGCCTGAAACCCAAACAGCCCATTACACATAAAATCGTTGTAAACATATTAAAAAAAACAAAAACAAAAGAGGAGCTTGATCAAAACAAAAAACCAAAAGAGGAGAAACCCCTTTCAACCCCGTCGGGTCGTGTACTCAGCACATCCCTCTAGTACTATAGCTACAGTTCTGACTGCGCATTGCTTATTGAAGAAGCAGGTCCAATGAGCAAACAGAGACCGCCACCGGACCCAGTGGCTGTGCTGAGAGGTCACCGCGCCTCTGTCATGGACCTCTGTTTTCATCCATCCCAACCTCTCCTATGCACCGGGTACCAGTTCAATATACTTATTCTCCAGCTTACCCTCTTCTTCTACTATTTCATCTTTAATATTATTACCAATTTGATCAAATCAAGTACCTTTTTCTTCGTTTTAGTTCCGCAGACGGCGAGTTGCGGATTTGGGACACTATCCAGCATCGGACTATATTATCAGCAGGGTACTTCATATACACACTTTAATTTCTTTTATTATAATTAATGAGTTGGTGTTTGTTGTTTGGAAATAGAAAATAAATACGAAATTGCAGGGTGCATAATGCTGCACAGGGGGTTGCTTCTGTTGCTTGTAGTTCTTCAATTGGAGCCAATAAAGTGATCAGGTGTCTGTTTTAAAAAATAAATAAAAAAACTTGTTCCTATTTTTAGTTCGTTTGTTGGCTATGGGTTTTGAACTAAAGTTGGAATTTGAAAATGTTGGTGTATGTAGCCAGGGTAGGGATGGAACAGTGAAGTGTTGGGATATCGAAGATGGAGGTCTGTCCAGGTTCTCAGTTAATTAGCTATTAGATATTTTTGTGACCCACATTATATTTTAGCTAATTAGCTCATCAGTCTTGCACTTTGGTATCATCTTGGCAGGACACCTTCTGTTACAATCAAGACAAACTCTTACCACTTTTGTAAACTTTCCTTGGTGAAGAGACCTCATTCTAGTTCTAAGCGAGTTTACTGGACTACGCATAATGACAGTGATGAAACAAGGGTTAGGGAGAATGCTGATGCGGATACTCTAGACGATAGCAGAGAAAAGTTTCAAGAGTATCTGCCTGAGCAGTCCAGCACATTTGAAGGTTTGTTGAAATTGATGTTCTGACCAGAAAAGATGTACATGCACTTTAGCTACTTTCTCTCAGGTGACAAGGGACTTAGATATATCTATTAGGGAAGATTCTCCAATAAGTATTTTATGTTAAGGATTGGTTACATATTTATAATCTCGACCGTTGGATTACATTTATGTTGCATTTTAAATCTACCAAAATGAATGCAATCCAACGTCCGAGATTAGAAATTTGTAACTAATCCTTAACTTAAATACTTATTGGAGAATCTCCCATCTATTAGTATTTGAGTTTGTATACTGGTTTCTTGTAGATTATACTCTTGATGTTGTCTTTTTTGCTTTGAGGTAATTTAAAAACTAGAATAATGATAGACAAAAATTTTGAAACAGAAAATACTCAAGTTGAGGGATCTAAATATGTCGCTGTAGCAGGGGAGCAGCCTTCTGAGGTCTATATGCACCTTGATTAAGTTTACTTTTGTTTTCATTTTTAAAGTTTCCAATTGCTCATTATATTCATCTGTTGATTTGCAAAGGTTGAGATTTGGGATCTTAATACTGCAGAAAGGTTTGCACGGCTACCTCAAAGCTGCGTTGCTGGTTCCTCAGGTATATCTACCACAGAGAGAGGTAAGTTTCTGATTCCAGAATTTAGTTGTGCTTCAGTTATAGACTATGTTGTTTGGACTATCTCTTTTCTTCCATCCATTCCGGTCATTTCATCTACTTTTAACATATAGACTTTGTTTCTTGACAGGAATGTGCATGGCGGTTCAAGCATTCTCACCATCTGAATCACAGGGATTCCTAAATGTCCTGGTTGGGTAAATTCCTCTTTTCTTATTCTCTTCTCATTTTCTACGTCTTATGAAATTGAGTACCTTATCAATTTAGTATATCCGTGAGCTTAGTTGCTCCAGAGGTATTTGCCCCAAATAGTATGCAAAGGTACATTAGTCTATGCTAATGACAAGATTTGTACTACTTGATATCTTGGATTCAGATGTTTGACGTGCACCCATATTCTCAAGTTTGATAATCATTGAAGCGGGATTATTCTCTAGTGGGTTTCAGGAATTGAAATTCGAGGCCAAAATTTTGTGATTTTTCCTCAGTTTGGCTTGTGTTTTGTGATTTTTGTTTCTTTATTCTACGTGGTACAGTTATGAGGATGGTTCCATGCTTTGGTGGGATATTAGAAATCCAGGGGTTCCATTGACCTCTGTCAAGTTTCATTCAGAGCCAGGTGTGGGACATAGAATCTGAAGAATCCCCATGTGTTTTTCCTCCTCATTTTCCCTTTGAAATAAGGCATGTTCTTCGTGTTATCTGCAGTTCTAAGTCTATGCGTTGATGGGTCATGCAATGGTGGTGTCTCAGGAGCCGCAGATGACAAAGTTGTGCTGTACAGTTTGGATCATTCCATGGTAACGTATGCATGTTCATAAGTTTGTAGTACTAGATGTGTTACAAGCTCCCTGCCTCTGACCATTAGAGGCAGTTCCTAGATGTTTAAGTTGAACTAACAGACAAATGAAAATGTTAACTTTCACATGCCAATCTTTTTTCTTTTTTTTTTGTTGGTAACAAGAGGGGCTAATAGCCCAGAACAAACAAACTAAGCACAAACAACACGGGACCTGGACACCCCAATAGCATCTGCAGCCAAACAATTCACAAGAAAAGCAGGCACCTCAGTAAAATATTGCACACCAGGGCCAAACTCAGAACTCTTAGAAGCCAAGACATCAGCCGCCACATTCTGCTTCCTGAAGATATGCTTAATTGAACATCTCCAACCAGCTTGAACCTTTAACTTGCAACAACTACTAAGGCTGAACAGGGGGTGTGTGGAAATAGTAGAGCTAGAAAGAAGAGCCACAGCCACACTTGAGTCACTTTCCACCTCCACAAAACGAAAGCTAGACTCCCAAGCCAAATGAAGCCCCAAAAATATGCCCCACAACTCAGCTTCAAGAACGGAACCAACACCCAAGTTCACAGAGAAGCCCTTAATCCAAGCACCATAATTATCTCTTAAGAGACCACCAGCACCAATAAACCTAGAAACACTATTATGACTTCCATCTGTGTTAATCTTACAAACTCCATAAGTAGGAGCTATCCAATGAAGTTGAACAACATATGGCACATAAGAAGGGGGAGGAGGTTTGGTAGCATTAAACCACTCCAAAGCATACTGAAGAATTAATTGTTGCAGATCGCCAGGCATAACAAACCTCTGCTAAAAAACTCCTTTACATCTCCATTTCCAGATAAACCACAAATAAAGAGCAAAAACCAGAGGCCAAGGCAACCCATTATAAACCTTTCTTTTAGATTGAAGATTCCTTAACAGCCACTTTTTAAAATCCATCAAATCAGGGCTAGAATTATCTCCAATTTGAAGATAATTCCAAATAGCCAAAGAGAAAGGACAATCCTTAAACAAGTGAGCAATAGCCTTCATAGGATAATCACAACTAGGACAAGTAGGAACCTGAGTGAGACCTCTCTTCTGCCTTTGCACATTAGGAAGCAACTTTTGATGACAAACAATCCAAAGAAAAGTTTTAACCTTAGGAGGGAGCAGCAACCCCCAAATAAACTGCCAGTCCCATTTAACTAAAGCCTCAGTAGGTAAAAAAGAACTATAAGCTGATTTTACCGAGAAAGCACCATTAGGCGTGAACTGCCAAATACATCTATCAGCCCCACTGCCATTAAAACTAGCATGAACACTTAAAATTAACTGAATAATATGAAGAGGAAGACATTCCCTTAAACAGTTAAAGTCCCAGACCCCCTCCTCCAAAAAATCACCCACATTCATCTGAAGCATTTCCTCAAAGAGATCAATGAGAGCATATTGATACAAAGGACCAAGACTCAACCACCTATCAGTCCAAAATAACACATTATCCCCAGAACCTACTCTCCACTTAACACCTTTAGAAAGGATAGAATTACCATATAAGACGCCCCTCCAGACACTAGAGCTACAAGGAAAATAAGAGTCCACAGCTAAAATGTTCTGGTGTTTTAAATATTTAGCATAGAAGGGGAAAGAGGGTCCCCCTGCCTAATACCACACTGAGGAGAGAACGAGTCAGTTAGCTCCCCATTAAGAATGGCCTTGTATTGCACATACGTGATTCATTGCATAAGCAACTCCAAAATGCTTCCTTTAATGCCCACTTCCCAGAGCACCTCCCTAATAAGAGACCATTGCATACGATCATAAGCTTTGGATAAGTCAATTTTCCAAGCTATAAAACCCTTCTTCCCTTTGGCAGATTTAAATTTGTGGAGCACTTCTTGAGCAACAATAATGTTATCCGTAATTTGTCTCCCTGGGACAAAACTAACTTGACTAGGGCTAACAAGCTTAGTCATACACGGCCGAAGCCTAGCCACAAGGATTTTAGAGACCACTTTATAAAGAGTGTTGCAAAGGCTAATAGGCCTAAGCTGATTCATAGACATAGGCCTCTCCACTTTAGGCACCAAAGCAATCAGAGGCTCATTTAAATGATCAGGAAGGGTGGCAGTATGAGAGCAATCCTGTACAAAGGAAATGATATCATCAGAGCAAACCCCCCAATAATCTTGGTAGAACAGAGTTGGGAAACCATCAGGTCCTAGGGTCTTTAATCTACCAATAGCAAACACACTATTCTTGATCTCTTCAACAGAAACAGAATAACTTAGACCTGCAAGATCAGCCTCTTCAAGTCTAGGAAACAACTGAGGAAGCAAAACATAGTCACCAACAACTTTAACTGGAGGCTGTATGCCAAATAAAATGTAAATAGTGTTCGCCATATGTTTGTAGTATTTTTCCTTGATCTAATAGTTATTATTACAAAATTAGTTGCCTTCAATATTTAAGCAGAAAGCTATCAATTATATGAAGAATTGGTGTGAAAGGAACTGACTAGCTACAGCAGGCAACCAAGTCGAATATATATGCATTCTTTGTTGGCTGTTTGTTGTTTCAGTATACTCTAATAGAAAAACTAACTCTTATTTCATATCTCTTTTTCTTTGATGTTGTGCTCTCTAACCTAGGGTACATGTGTGATCAAGAAAGAAATTAGTTTGGAACGACCTGGCATATCGAGCACTTCTATTCGATCTGATGGTAAAATTTTTGCAACAGCTGGCTGGGACCACAGGTTGGGAACGGAACCTTCAGTTTGAGATTTGAAGGATTTTTTGTAGTTCATTCATAATTGTTAGTCTTAATTTACAAAGACAAAAGCCGATCTGCATTCTTATGTCTTTTCTTTTTGCCCCTTTTTCATTTTACCTATTGATGGCAGAGTGAGAGTATATAACTATCGCAAAGGCAATGCTCTGGCGATATTGAAGTATCACCATGCAACGGTATAGTGTTCCTATTGGCATAAGATCTAAATCCAAAGATTCTCATTCTCGCCATTTTTGCATTCATTTCTCTAATTTGAGTTACTAGGTGTTGGAGAAAAGAAGTGTAGTCAGCGGGTACATAGCCTACTATATATGACTAAGGTGTCTAATTAGAGCTGCTTCATCTTTCTGAGGGCCTGATTATTTGCAATTTTCCTTTCTATTTTATTTTTTTGGCAGTGTAATGCTGTTTCTTATTCACCCGATTGCAAGCTAATGGCATCTGTATCAGAAGATAGGACGGTGGCACTGTGGGAACTTTATCCTCCTCGAACTTGAAATGATATGGTGGTCCTGAAGTGGAAATGAGTTTGTGTTCCCTATAATGTAATAGAAGAGCATCAATAGTCAGTATCATTACCGTTTGTGTGCATAAGTTTAGATTAAATTCATTTAAATTATGGATTATTGCTTCTTTAGGAAAAAGATAAGATGTTAGACCTTCAATTTAGCAATAAGATAAGATGTTACTCGCCTACAAGAACCCTGTGCTGGGATGAAATATGTGTTCTCCTTCTGTAATTTTCTGTTGTTTCAGACAAGGCCCGAGAAAAAATTGACATTTTGGACTGTATGTAATTTGATGGCTGCCTGGAGGTTCGTAATTGAAAAACAGAGCCAAACTCGCAGGCTTTCAGACGCAAAAGAAAGGGCCAAGTCGCGTTGATTTGATTTGTACTTTTAGTTTGGTGGCCATCCTCCAATCCAATGGCATCGCATAGAGGTGCCACATTCTTAGCCTCTGATATACAAAGCAATGATTGGCTTGGCTATGCTGGGAAGGTTTATAATTTGATCTCTCTTACTTTGCAAAAGAAAAAGAGGACCCGTTGTTGACTTTATCAACTACTCTTGAAATATTTTTCAATGTAGCAGCCGGGGAAAGAAGTTGCACATAGATTCTGAATTTTTTCATAACCAGCTTTCTTTACTTCCTCTTCTTGATCTCTTTAGGGGCTGACCCTAAAGTTCAATTTCTACCTCAAGATTTGGCTTCCATTTTTCCAAATTGTCGGTCGGCTTTCTTGCAATATTTATGTAATAATATTACTAACTCCCTCGTGATTATTACTAATTGAGTCTTTGTATATTTTTTAATGTAAGCGACAGTCTAAATTACTCTAAGTTATTCTAATCTATATAGATAATATTTAAACTTGAGTGCATGGGTGTGCAACATAAGTCGTCCCTTGGAGTTATGGGCTCGTAATAACAATGAGTCGTCCCTTGGAGTTATGGGCTCGTAATAACTGAGCTTCAGAAATGTGAACCATGTGGTTTTCTATTTTTGGGTACAAAAATCATGTGGTTTTCAGATAATATGTGCCTAAGCCCTTGCCCTCTTCCACAAGGCACCCAAAAGTTTAAAACCGGCTTCGAATCCTTCCACACGAAGCATGGCCTTGTTTTGTTTAGTTAATGCTGTATATCTCTGTTAGCTGGTTTTGTTGCTTTGTAACATCGTAGACGAACAGATGGTCCTGCCTGAAAAAACTTGTCCCGGTTTGTTTTGGTAATAAGCAGTCAGTTGCATTATTGATGTTGCTTGGGTGATGATGGGGTCGTCATTCATTACCATGTGCTATTCAATATCATTATCTTGTTTTAAGGTATATGATTGAAAATCTGATTTCGTTTTCATGGCCCAAATATAATAAAATTTTCAATCATCACTTCCCTTCTGGATCATAATATTCTATATTGCGTTGCGTGTATAGCTTATTGTTTTGACAAAGGGTTTAGGGATGATTAATTTGGAGAACCAAGCAACTAATGCGGATAAGCTAATACATAAGTAGAAATTACAAGACAATTAATTAGGAAGTGGCCATCATGAATTAAACTACATCTATCGCCGAACGCTTTTGACCTTAGTGGTACGTAAGACATTTTCTTTACAGCCAGATTGCTAAAGTTGGACTCTCGTAGTCCTCGTTTTTCCTTAAACCTAAAGATTTTTCTCCAAGGAGAAAGAAAATGAAAATGCTTCTAGTATTCGAGTTTAACAGTGATTAAA